TATTGATTGCTGGACCAAAATAAGTGTATCTTTGCTGTTTTTTCAGTATGAACTGGCTTAGCAGATTACTTTAAAATGCTTTTACTGGAATTCTTAGCTTGTTTGCTGCATTCCCATGTGGACTGTGTAGTTCTTCCTTTATCTGTATTTGGAGTGGTAGGCTAGGAAAAATACACTGTGAGAGGAAGTTTTATGAGAACTTCTGAAGGGTTTATGATGCTTAGAAGAGGGTAAAAAAAGTGGCTTAAAAGAAGAATGATTTTTTTTTTTTTAGTGTTCTGTGGCCATTCCGTTATGAATAAAGCTAAGCTGTGTTCTTGGTGGGTTTATATTATTAAAGAACAAATAAAACACGCTCCCCACCATCCTGTACTGCTAATTTATCAAGGAAACTTATGCAGCCAGTTGAGAGAACTTTAAAATTCAGAAGGCAAAGCTTTCATTCACTTAAATCAACTGTTTCTTTTGTGTACCCATTTCTGCTGGTTGGTTTTTGGTTTGTTGTTTGTTTTTTGTTTTTTTTTTTTTCCCCCTCAGAATGTTTGTTTTGTTTGATCTGATATTTCAGATCAAATAACCTCTTATTTTTTTTAACAAGTCACTAGGGCCAGCTTCCAAGGTTGCACATAAGCAGTGAATGCAGGCTTATTTCACAATTTTTCTTCATTAACTAATGACATACAGACACAGCAACATTTCTTATTTAATTAAACTTTTGAATATGCTCATATCACTATAATTTTCAAAGTGAGGCTGACTCAGGTAATCTAACAATCATGAATTTTACTATAGTGCTCTTGTATAAATTGACTCCTTGATACAGGAAAGATCTTGTGATAATAGAAGCCAAATTAGATTCATTTTCTATATATGCGAGTTGTGTGCCTTGTCAAAATTTTCTTTGAAAGCCATATTCAGAAAGTCATTCTAATATGCTTTTAATTCTAAAGAGATGGATATTAAAAGAGCATGCACATTTCTCCAGTGTCCTTAATGTGAGTTTGTTATATGAGGCTCATCTTCACTTCCAATCTTTTGAGTGTTTTTTTCCTCAAAAACATTGAATTTTAGGGACTTCACTATATGGTAGTGAAAAGAAATTTTGGTTTTGAGAAGGTAAAAATAATGTTATCTACAGAGTGAAGTTAACGTGCATTCAGAAATGAATGGTTTCTAGCTAAATTATCCTTATGATGGTAGTAACTTGGAAAATTCACTAAGACGTTTCACATGTTACATAGTTTGCATCTTTGTTATCCCTTCACATCTTTGGAAGTTGACAGCTTAAGAGGGGACCTAATGTCAAACAGAGAATTGTTTTTCCTTGAGAATTTTCTAGGACATTTCCAACTGCTTTCAGCTTTTTCTTCAACGTATCTTCCTACTTGATACAAGACTGAAGAGAACATATTTGCTATTGTAAATACGTTGGTTTCCCTGAGTAGCTTTGCTGCTGTTCCTAGTGTAGGACAAATGCTTGAGTCCTGTGACTCCTACTGGAGTCTTTTACTCCAGCTAGCAAGCAGCTTCTGGCATGAGATCCTTTTATGTTATATACGACCAATATTTACTCTGGTTGGGGTTTTGACTGTTCCGAAGAAACATTATGGTGATAATGACAAACTCCATTTGTTACTTTGTATGGCAAAGCCACTGTTGCAATGTAGCAACATTAAAGTAGAAAATACTAGTTAATCCACTGTAGCCTTGAAGGATGCAGAACCCTTCCTTGCCCTCCTCCATTTTTAGTATGTATCTGGATGGAGCCACTTTACAAAGCTTTGTTACTCAGTTTATTGCACATAAAAAGGTATATAAGAGAGGAAACAGGCAATATGTCCTAACACGTACGTTGAGTTACAAGTACAGAACCGAGCTATTGAAATAGTGCATAAGAGGCCAGCTATGTACGTTTTCAAAGCAGTGAAGTAGGATAACAGCAAGGTGGTGCTCAAATACTCAAAGGAGTGTATATGCAGAGAGATTTCCTTTCTCAAACCTCCAGAACAAATATATTCCAGACTGTAATTTTATCTTGAATCAACGTAATCGCGTGTGATACAAAGCTTGTGGAGAAACCCGTTTACCTTGCCGTCCCCCAGTGTCTGACTGGCAGGCCGGGCGCGGGGCTGAGGGGCTGGAGCTCGCTTCCTGCTGGAGGGCACCAGCGCGGGGGCCTCCGCGCCG